TCCGGTCGCGCCGAGAGTTGGTTCCGCACGAGCGGACTCCAACAGGCCAGCTGGGCCGAGGTTCGCCGCGAATTTCTAGATTTTTTCCTGCCACCGCGGTATTATCAACGACTGGAGGACGAGATCCGGACGCACCTGCAGCGACCCAACGAGCCGTTCAAGGAATACTTAGTGGATCTTCGCTTGCAGATGCGCCGAGCTGGATTCTCTCCGGACCGAGAGTTGGAGCGCGTCTACGACAACATGCTGCCGGAGTACCAGCTGTTCACCCGAAGACAGGATTTCCGCACCCTGGCGGAGCTGACCCACCTAGTAGTGGACTACGAGGTGACGCGCAGCCGGAATGAAAGCCAGGATCATCGCTCTCCGAGCCCTCGACAGGAAGCTAGACGCAACTATGGGACGGAAGCCGGGCAGACGCCGCGCCGTGCCCCACCAGCAGCCCCAGTGGGCAACCCTTTCAACGGAGGTACCAGCCGGAACGCGAACACGAGCCAGAGCACAGCCTCTCCCGTCACATCGGAGCCAGTCAACGCCCGCGACGCCTGCCGCAACTGCGGCCAACCGGGACACTTCTCGGCCGAGTGCCGGAACCCCCGCATCATTTTCTGCTGGGACTGCGGACGCAGAGGAACCCGGACTATCGATTGCTGTCGGCGTGCAGCATCGGGAAACGGGAACGGGCCTCGAGTGACCGGGAATCACCCGGGGAACCCGTCCAACCCACGCAGCCAGTAGGAGGAACCCTCCACCAACACCAGGGACGGATTCGCGCCACCATCACCATGGAAGGACGAGAATTCGTGGCCACCCTGGACACCGGAGCTACGCATAGCTTCATCAGCGAAGACCTAGCCCGAGAGCTAGGCAACGCGGACAACTCGCGAGATATTCGCACACAAGTCAAGTTGGCCGACGGGACATGCCGGGACCTGACCCGGGCCCTCGCCGCCAATATACACCTGGGGAGCAAACGCGCTCCAACCGTCCTGCTAGTGATGAGCGAAGTCCTTGACGACGTTCTCCTAGGCATGGACTTTCTTTGCAGGATCGGAGCCACCATGCAGTGCGGGGGACAGACCCTCAGCCTGATGCCAGACCAGTACACGGAGCCACCATGGGCTCAAGAACGAGCCAACGCAAGACGCCGGAGGGAAGAGCCACGCCTCCGCTTGAGGAGCCACGCTCTGTCCGCTTCGAGGAGCCACACTCCAACCCTCACGGAGGGCCACGCCCTACGCCGCAGCCGAGAGAGCCACGCTCTCAACCCCTAAGCCCGCCGGCCGAGTCACACTCTGCCCGCCGGGAACCAGCGACGACGGAGCCACGCTCCAGCAACACAGAATCAGCAACGGCCAGAGAACCACCGCAACCGGCGCCACGCGCCCGCCCCTCGGGGCACAGCCCCCCGAAACCAACCGGGAGACCGCCAGCACCACGCCTGCCGGAGAGGAGAGCACATCCTCCCGGAGGTCGGCAGTCATCTCGGGCACAGACCCGTCCACGACGGGAAACCAGCCGCCAAGTTGGAGCCATGTCTTGCCTGTGGCGGATGCCACCGCCGCGCAGCGAAACCCATTTCGCACCTCCAAGAAGCGTGTCCGTTTCCAGGACCACGTCGAGGAAACGCCGGCGCAAGACTCGCCTCTCTGCGGAAACATTAACTCGGTGAGTCACCCCGCTGGGGATCCAGATTCAGCCGAGGCGGAAGAGCTCGAGACCCACAGCTACCCAGAGCCCTGGGTAGAGGAATTCCTGGAGAAGGAGTTGGCCTTGTTCGAGAATCTTTCAGGGGTGTCCCACATAGCGGAGCACCACATCATCATGCGCAGCGATCGGCCACTGAAGCAAAGATACTTCCCGAGGAACCCGGCCATGAGGGCCATCATCGACAAACAGATCGACGAGCTTCTTCGAGACGGGCGGATCGAGCCCTCGAAGAGTCCGCACAGCGCGCCCATTGTGATTGCGGCGAAGAAAAACGGAGACGTACGCATGTGTGTTGACTACCGTCAACTCAACGAAAACTCGGTTCCCGATGCCTACCCGCTCCCGAGGATTCACCAGATTCTGGAACGCCTCCGGAACGCCAAGTTCATCTCGACGCTGGACTTGAAGAATGGATACTGGCAGATACCAGTAGCCCCGGGCAGCCGAGAGTGTACGGCTTTCACCGTTCCCGGCAGAGGATTATTCCACTGGCGGGTGATGCCGTTCGGTCTTCATTCCGCCCCTGCAACGTTCCAGCGCGCTTTGGATACAGTCATCGGGCCTGACATGGAGCCGCACGCATTCGCCTACCTGGACGATATCATCGTCATAGGCTCAACGCTGGAGGAACACGTCGCCAACCTTCAAGAGGTCTTCCGACGCCTGCGCAATGCGAACTTGCGCCTGAATCGAGGGAAGTGCCACTTCTTCCAACGCCACATCGTCTACCTGGGACATGTGATCAGCGAGGCGGGCATCCATACAGATCCGGACAAAGTTGCCGCGATCCGCGAGCTGAAGCCACCAACTTGCCTAAAGGAGCTCCGGAGGTGCCTTGGGATTTCATCCTGGTATCGCCGCTTTGTTCCAAACTTCGCCGACGTGGTCGAACCCATGACCGCGTTGCTGAAGAAAGGCCAAAAGTGGGAGTGGACATCGAGGCAGGATCACGCTTTTCAGGAGCTGAAGGCGCTACTAACGAAGGCACCGGTCTTGGCCTGTCCGGATTTCGGCCAGAAGTTCGTTCTTCAGACGGATGCCAGCGAGTACGGAATAGGAGCCGTATTGACGCAGACCATCGAGGGACAGGAGAGAGTTGTCGCTTATGCCAGCCGCCGGCTCAACCCGGCCGAGAGGAACTACTCCGTTACGGAGAAGGAGTGCCTCGCCATCGTCTGGGCAATCAGGAAGATGCGATGCTACCTCGAGGGGTACCGTTTCGACGTGGTGACGGATCATCACTCGCTGAAATGGCTGAATTCGATCGATAACCCGACGGGCAGGATTGCACGCTGGGCTCTCGAGTTGCAGCAGTACCAGTATGACGTCCATTACCGGAAAGGGGCCCAAAATCTTGTGGCCGACGCCCTTTCTCGCCAACCGCTGCCTACCGCGCAGCAAGCACAGGTACAAGGAGTCAACTGCCGCTGGATCAAGAAGATGCTTCAGAAGATGCGGACAGAACCCGCCAAGTTCCCCGACTACAGGGAGGAGAACGGACAACTCTATCGCCGCATTGGTCTCCGGCCAGAAGAGGAGGAGTACACGCCATGGAAGCTGTGCGTTGGGTCGGATTACCGCCAACGCGTCCTCGAGGAATGCCATGACCACCCAACCGCCGGACACTTGGGAATCCGGAAAACTAGTAATCGCGTGGCTCAGCGATACTACTGGCCGGGTTTATTCCGCGACGTCGCGCGCTATGTTCGTCACTGTACGAGTTGCCAGAAGTTCAAGGTAAGCCAGGAGAAACCTGCGGGGATGATGTTCACCCGCCAGGTCGACGAGCCATTCCAGGTTCTCTGCGCGGACTTCGTTGGACCGCTTCCACGATCGAAGCAAGGCAACACCATGCTGTTGGTGTTTCTAGATGCCTTCAGCAAGTGGGTGGAGTTGGTGCCACTGCGGAAAGCCACTGGAGCACAACTTGAACGCGCCTTCCGGGAACGGATCCTGAGCAGATTCGGAGTGCCGAGGACCTTCGTCTGCGACAACGGCACGCAGTTCACAGGTCGGTCTTTCCAGAACTTCTGCAAAACGCTGGGCATGGAGCTGCAGCACACGGCGCCGTATACGCCAAGGCAGAACCCGACGGAGAGAGCCAACAGGACGATCAAGACGATGATCGCCCAGTACCTGGATGGAGGCCCGCAGAATACATGGGACCAGTTGTTGCCGGAAATCTCCCTGGCCATCAACAGCAGTGTCTCCGACACAACAGGATTTAGCCCAGCTTTCCTGACGCAAGGGCGAGAACCGAGGCTGCCACGGACTCTATACGACGAGCTCACACCAGGACGAGGCACCCCAGAGGTGGCCCCAACGGACCGAAGCCAGCAGCTGAAGGACATCTTCCGAGTGGTGCGAGACAACGCTGAACGCGCTACGGCGGATCAGGGCCGACACTATAATCTGCGCCGACGGACTTGGAAGCCGCCTGTAGGATCTCTAGTGCTGGTGAGACGCCACGCACTCTCCAACGCTGCTGAAGGATTCGCCGCCAAACTGGCCGCGAGATACGAGGGACCCTTCCGAGTGGCGAAGTTCCCTTCACCAAACATCGTCCAGCTACACGTACCCGGCAGCCGCCGACGTCGTACTGCGAGTTTGGGACAGCTGAAACCCTACCGACAGGGGAGAAGCAGATGACCACGCCGAAGGCGCGATCGATGACAGCGACTACGAGGAAGACCACGCCGAGGACACGCACAACCCAAAGCAGTCAGACGCCGCCGACACGAGCCCTGGGGAGAACACCCCACTCCACGCCACCGCCACTACCACGCCGCCGCCACTAAGCCACGCCCAGATCGAAAGATGGCCATGTTCAGAGGGGCCACTTGCTGACAGGCGCGCCTGTCCAACGCTCCTACCCCCCTAGGGGGGAAACATGCGCCCTCTCTTTCGCAAAAACAAACTTAGAAATCGAGCAACTCTCGGTTGGGTAGGGTCCTTCGAAAGCGCCCCCTAACAACGCCGTCTCTTTTGCTCTTTTCTCTCCACAGACACATCGATCACCACGCAGCACGAACGCACACGGTGCAAACAGCAAATCAACAGCAACAGAGACGCGACCCACCGCCCACAGGCAACCGCCAGCGAATACACGCCCGCATCCTCGAGGATCCAGCGCACGGCAGCGCTGAACACACGCGCTTCGCACCTCGCCCACGATCCCGAGCACGGCCGCATCGCCACCACCCGGACCAACAATCTCGCCACGATGTCAAGCACCATGTCATCACCCAGGGACGACGCCTGGATGGGGCTCGCCCTTGAGGAGCTGCTGGATGGTCTCCAGATGGGGCATCGCCCCAACCTTCACCCCTCACGCCACTCAGTGTGGCCGGAGTCCGCAGACGAATCCCGTCCGCGGAGCAATAGACGTCCCGCCGGATCACCGATTCGGCCCAATACGGGTGGACACCACCCCGCCACGACCACGGCCAGCCGAGGCCGCCCACACGCCTGCCGACCAGGGCAAGCAGCCACTCACGGATCAGGGGCCGCCGCCTTTGGTCCCGCTACGCACGACCCGGGCTCCATCGACCCAGGCCACCCAGGAGGGAAGCCACCGCCACGGGCAGCGCCACAGGCAGCCGGCCCGTCGACGCGTCCGCACACCGGCCAGGTGTCCCCACGACGCCTACCGGCAACCAGGGGCAGCCACCACGGGCAGCACCTCGAGCAACCGCTCCATCGACGCGCCCGCACACCGGTCGGGCCACTACAATGTCTACCGGCCACGTAACCCCATCACCACGGGCGACGCCGCGAGTTGCCCTCACTGCGGCACGCTCACGCACCGGCCCGACTCCGACAGCGCCTGGGACACGCGCAGTCCAGGCTGTAGCGGCACCAGACCCAGACGGCGAGGTGGAAGCGGCGCTACGAGAGTGCCTAGGCGACCTTCCACCCGACGTACTGGAGGAGATGGCCCACGGGGCAGAAGGGTTGGATCTGGAGGACCTTTTCGGGGAGTCTCCCGACGAGGACGGAGTAGAGCTCCCAATGCGCCCCGTCTCCAACCAATCCGCCGACGAGCCACGGACCCCGTCACCTCAATTCCAGCCGGATTACGAGGAGATCTCCAGCGACGAGGGAGTAGAGGCCGAGATCATCCAGATCTCGACTCCGACGACGCCGAGCCAAGGTTCGGCCAATCATTCGGAGCCACGTTCCGCCAGGGACGACCACCCACACCAGCACCGGCACGCCGAGGCCGCCGACGGAGTGCGCCCTGGGCCGATAGCCACAAGCGAATCCTCGTCCGGGACCCCGCGATCGCCAAGGTCACCGCTGGCTACCGTTCTCGACGGCTGGAGCACGCCCAACGGCACGCTACCCGCCGGGCTCATCAGTCGGATCCAGCAGCCAACAGACGAAGGGCCCGACGCTACCTGGAGGAGGAACAGGGTCAGCGATTCCGGGTGCAGCTGAACCGGGACGACCACGTCCGGGTCTTCCTACACCCCACCCGGAAGTAAGGAGGGAGTGTGACGACACGACTGGTCGCCACAACCTTATATGTATAGGGTAAAGGAAGAAGGAAGTTGGGAGGTGTGTGGGTGTGTCGTCCAAGTCCTCTTTATCAGAAAAATTTATAAAGATATGGGACAAAGCGTTTTGACGCGCGGTGAGCTGACGTGAGGTGTTAGTTGTCAGTTACCGGGATACGAAGCCAGAGAAATGGCTGGTTCGGTCTTTGCAATAGAGCGAAATAATCGGCGGAGCGCGTTTTGGGTCGGGCCTATAGCAGACGCTATGGGGAGACCGAGAGAGGGGTCGATTATGGGGACCACCGCTTCCTAGGGCAGAGTTTATGGCCTAAAATCTAGGCATTTTGGGAAAATATTCTACGTGAGTCATGGCCATCGTGATTTTGGGTCGTTCCCCGCGAGCTGCACTCGATTTGAGGCGAAAATTATATTTACGAGAGCTTTTCTTGAATTTATTTAATTTCCATCATTTTAAATTTTCTCTGCGTTTATTTTTCCAGTGTGGGCAGCGTACGGGCTCCCAGAAGTTGCAGTCAGGAGTTAGACTTTCCGCGAGAAAAGAAAAATATATTAAATAAAATTTACTTTAATTTTAAAATTAAGTTTGGAGTTTCATTTCTCCCAGTGTGAGGGCGAAAACTCAGCCGTTCCCCGCAAAAACTATGCCTGAACTCCTCTCATCGTAGACGCGTGGCCGCAGCACTGCGTTAAATATCCGGAGAAATATCTAATTAAATTCGCTGTAATACATTTGCCGCGAAGATAAGGTCCACCCTTTTCGCCGGACTTCGACTTTGTAATAAAATATTTCCTTATTAAATTTCCAACTGATTTCACTATGAGGAGAAACGGCGCGAGCGAAATATTTTTATTTATAAATTTCAATGAAGTTTTTAGCGAAAGTTTGGTCCACCCCTTTTCTCTGCATGTCTCGTTTGACAAAAGTTGGCGTAGGTCAGGGAAGATAACATGGCGACAGCGAGGGAGTTTAGTTTTCAATCGCCATGCATATATATATTCGGGTTTATTGTAAATAAATTCTAGTTTTCATTTGTGTTTAATAAATTTGGTTTTCAGTTGTATTTAAATAAATTTCAGTTTTTTTTCATTTGTATTCTCGGATTTTTAGTTTTCATTTCGGGGAAATTTACAAAGTTTTCGTGGCAGGTGTTTGAGGTTAAATTCTGGGGTTTTATATTTCTAGCCTACTCTAGTGAATCCGCATCTTGGCCGTCGAGAAATTTCTATATGCACGAGAGTCTCGCTGGCCAGAATGCGGTTCACCCTAATCACTCACCCGTCTCAGTTATCCGCACACACACACGCACGTGGCTGATGGTTCCGCCGCCGTGGTCTCCGTCCGCTTCCCAAAAGGTGCCTCCTTGGCCACCAAATTTGCCGCAACTCTGCTGACGTCACTCGCACTTCGTCGAGCACCACCTCCTGGCTGGTCTCGGGTTTATCAAATTGTCACTGTCAATATATATTTTTTCACACTCGTTTGCCGCAGAAACTCCGTCGCGTAGAAACTTCCGTTTTGGTTACACGTGAACTCGAACTTGAAACATCGTCGACCGCTCGCACGTCTACGCGTTTTCGTCACCTCCGCCAAAGTGAAAAATTGCCATGCGGTTTTGCCAAATTTTTGCATTGCGGTGCATCGGCTTCCCTCTCTCGCTCTCTCGTTGGCGCGTGCCAATTTTCGGGGGTTGTTTTGCGCTCGATCGTATGCTCGCTCTCCCTCGCTCCTGTGCTGCGCTGACTCCGTGGCCACTTGTGCGTGGTGAATAACTCTCTCTGCTCTCCGCGTGTAGGTGTGTGTGTGTGTGTGTGCGCGATCTAGTGATGTGAGAACGGGGGAACCAAATATAACTACAAACTCTTGCCTATGCTTAATTTTTGTACCACTATTAACTGCCTATATTGCGAAGTTTTGGTTGATTAAATATACAGCGCTTATTTTATAAGAAATAGGGAATGATTATTGTATAGTTGTGTCCCCTTGTATGTCTGCAACTAACAAGAGGTCATTGTAGGAGGGGTTCCCAGGCAAGAGTAAACACAGGTCGGGATAATTTCCAACGTTATAATTATTATTATTCACTGATTTACTTTAGACTAGATATATATATGTATGTACAGATGGGTGTGTATTCGCAATAGATAAGGCGTTAGACCGGCGGCGTGCGTTCAGCGGCGTTTGCAAGATCAGACTAACTTTTCACCTCTCTTCCATTCTCTTCTTCCCGCATCGTATGCACTGTCCAGCGACGAGTGAGCGATCGGCTGATCGCCACTCTCTCCCGCACAGTGGGACACGCAGCAAAACTGAACATGCCGCCCGCCAATGCTAGACCTAGCATGAGACATCTCCGCGTGTCCAGTCCATCCTGGGGGGGTAGTAGGCGGGGCAGAATCTAGAATGGAGACAAGAGACAAACGATGTGCGCAAGAAATAATTTATTATGATTGAGGTGTACGTGAGAGCGCTTAAGAACGGATTGGCAGTGGACACAGCTTCGACACTGACCGCTTTAATTGGCCTTGCTTGGTTTAAGGGTTACCACCCGGACTAACGCATCCGCCCCCTGGGTGTAACTCGACGACCCGTCCTAACAGCCACTGTGAAGGCGGAATCGGTCATCCTTGCTGATGACAAGGTCGTTCAACTGCAGACCTTCAGCCTCATGACACCACTTCGGTCTCTGCTGCAGATGAGCCAGCCAGTCTCGACTCCAAGCCTTCCAGAAATGGCGAATCATTGACTGCTGGATAAGAAACTGCTCTGCGAAGGGACTTGGACTGCCGGATTATACTCCGGAGGCGCCAACATGGAGTCTCCAATTAGAAAATGAGCCGGCGTGGAAGCACCTCTAGATCGTCAGCATCGGCTGTGAGAGGGCACAGCGGCCGCGAGTTGAGGCATGCTTCTATGCTTATGAGCCAGATAACTCCTCATAGGTGAGCCGTCGAGTCGGCGATGACCCTCTTAAGGTGGTGCTTCGCTGACTTCGCATTGGCCCCTCCCACAGCCCGCCAAAGTTGGGCGATTGAGGTGGATTGAAATGCCAAGTGGCACGCTGCGCAGCGAGCTTTGGGGCTATGAGCTTCTCGTAATCCCTCCTGCAGCCTTCCGAATAATGCCTTCATTAGATTATCCGCGCCGATAAAGTTGGTTCCGTTGTCACCGTATAAATGCTGAACCATCCCATCTCGCCGCCCGGTGAACCGGTCTAAAGCCAGCAAGAAATGCTCCGTGGTGGGGCACCCGTCCACTGCCTCCAAGTGTACAGCCTTCGTCGCCAGACAAATGAAAACGGCTATGTATCCGCTTGTAGAAGCTGGTTCCTCTTAAGCGCGCTGCCTTCAGCTCTATAGCGCCTGTGTCGTCAACTCCCGTCGCCAGGAACGGTCGATTAGGGGGTGTTTGACCCTGTGTAGCGGCAGGCATGAGCTGAGCCGAGGTGGTTGGCCGGGTGCGAAAGCACCTCACGCACTTCCGCAGCACCCTTCGAACTGCTTGCCCCTGTCAGTATCCAGAACCGCTGGCGAGCGTGGGCCAAGGTCAGCTGCGCACCTCCGTGCAGAGTCAAAGTATGCGAGTAACCCCGTATTACTAGCTCTGTAAAAATATGAAGGAACTGGGAGGATTATTGGATGCCGACGTTCGTATGATAGCCCCGAATGGCGCAATCGCCCCTCACTCGTAAGATTCCCTCCACCACGATCGGTGACAAACTCTGAAGCTTGCTTTTGGAGGGCAGCCGTTTAGAATTCATCAATGCGGCCAGCTCAGACGAGAAGGACTCCCTTTGAACAATGCGCACGATGGCGAGTAAAGCATCGAGCTCCTTAATGCTTAGGGGACCGGTATACCTCTCTCCTTTGCTAATAGCATTGCTTTTGAACCGAATTATAAATGCTGTGACTCTTATGGCCTGGCTGAAACTGGAAAACCTCTCAACCAACGATGGTTGCGGAACTGCCAGGTGAACGCGTACCTTGTCCGCCTTTGCCCAGCGCGGCATCGTGTATGTCGACCTGCCCGATCTCCGTCGAAGGCCAGTCATCTTGCTTGCGTGTAAGCCACTCCGGGCCTCGCCACCACAAATCAAAATCCTTTAGCTCGCTCGGAGGGGAAGCCCTCTTGTCGCACAGTCCGCTGGATTCTCGCTAGTACCTACATGTCTCCATTGCGATGGCGACGAGTGGTCCAGAATGAAGGCGACCCTGTGGCAACAAACGTCTTCCATCTATTGACGTCCCCGTGCAGCCAATGAAGAAGAATCGTGGCATCCGTCCAATAAAAGGTCTGGATGGGAAGGTCATTTAGCCACCTAGCGAATGTAAGCCATTTCACCAACTTGACGGCTAGCACTGCACCACTCAGCTCCGTTCTTGGTATGGTTAGGGGTTTAGTAGGGGTAACCTTTGATTTTGCGGCCAACAGCGAGACGTAGCACGCTCCATCTCCCGTGCTCGAGCCTTAGATAAGTAGTAGCTGCATAGGACGTGGAAGATCCGTCACAAAAACGCGTGCAGCTGAGCTGATACTATGGATCCTGGGGGAATAATGAATCCACCGCTGTATGCTCAGGCCGTCTATCCCCAGCAAGCCGTCCCGAAATGCTTGCCACCTTTCCGCAAGAGCCTTAGGAACCTCGTCGTCCCAATCCAGAGCCGTCCTAGCGCCGTTGTCCTGCGTTTTCTTATCCATGGTTACCTCCTTCAATATTAACTTTCCCGAGATGATGACTGGCGGCGATGAGACCTAGCGGGTCGAACAGCCTCGCTATACTCGACAGGATCGTCCTTTTAGTGAAAGTAGGTGGTATCTCAAAATTGACCTGAAATTTGAAGCAATCCTTATTGGGGAGCCAATACATTCCTAACGCCTTGATCGGATCCGCAGCGTCCCAGTTCAGAGATGCACGACTCTCA